AAACTGGTGTTATAAAGTCAAGGGTCAAGAGCCCAACTAAAGCAAACACTGACCACTATCATGGTGTCTTTAAATGAAACTCAATAAATCATCTTCATCTAAACCTCTGTTCATTCACAATAACTACTTCTGTAGACGCATGATAAAAGTCAAACTGGTTAGTAATAAGTGAGGCTGGTAATGCTGTTTGTGGAGTTGTTCAATCCTCCTCTGCTGAGATCTTGAGAGATTTAAACATATTTTATCTTCAGTTGATTTCATCTAATGTTGTGGTTGGAAGTCAGTTGTAGTTCTTGTGTTTCTCTTTCCTTCAGTGATGTTAACAGCAGGTGTTCATCATTAATGCTCAACAATCACTTAATGAATCACTTAATTCCTTGACTGCAATATCTACTTTTAGTGAACTCAACTGAAATAAATTCAGAGTTCTCATAACTAATGTTTTTTTAAAACTTAAATGATTTGAGGCAATCGGTTTCCTCAAATTAAACGAGTTAGCTTAACTTGTTGGGTTTTACAGTGTATATTCAGTTTTACCTGCTTTTCTGAAACTGATGTTCAAAATCTCAAAATGCATAATTCCCTCCAAATCGGTTTCATCTCCTTCCCCTTCTAAACCAAATAGAAAAAGGTCAGACTCCTAAGAACTGACTTTTATGTGTGTCTCACGCACGCTGGTTCATCACTTTCAGTTTTTCAAAAACACTTACTGTCTCTTGCCAATGCCAGCAAAGACAACTGTCTTTTGTGAGCTCCCCCCCTACATTCAGTCTACAGTAAGACTCCCATCTATCTATCTATCTATCTATCTATCTATCTATCTATCTATCTATCTATCTATCTATCTATCTATCTATCTATCTATCTATCTATCTATCTATCTATCTATCTATCTCTGTCTGTCTGTCTGTCTGTCTATCAGCTTAATCAGATATGTCTAGTGTACTTAACTCTGGTCCAGCATAGATATAATTGGACAATTGTCCTCACCGTTGTACACATGCTTCGAAAGGCCGAGGTGATGAGCAATGTGAAATTCAAATATTTGAGTCAAGTACACTTTACAAAACCGTGCAGCATGGAGTAGAGGGGACAGGAAGAGCTCTTTAACTTTGTGTCTGATTATACTGAAGCATGAAATCTAGCTGACCTACATAATGCTATTATCTCAGACACCGTCCACACGAGGCACTGGTGTTGTGACCTGTCTGAACTATATCATAACTGTAAGCGACTGGTGATGATTAGTGACCTTTTGCTGGTTTCGAACCATTTACTTCAACTACAGTGTCGAAACTAGCTGGTTTTCATGTCTTTTTTTTTTTTTTTTTTTTTTTTTCACTGTCAAGTTTCCTGGTTGTTATGTGATTCCCTTGCTCCTCATGTGAAATAAAAATTTGGGGTTATGAGGCTACTATTATGTTTTACCTAATATAACATTTAAGATCCTACAACATCTTAATTTACTTGTCATATAGGGACATCATTTATTTAAGAAAATGTGTATGCTCCTCTGGGAGATGAACACCGCCCTGTCCCAAATGCACCTTAAACACTCGAGGTCTTCCTCTGAGTTCGCACTTTCGTGACGTAATGCTACTTTGACTGTCGGGAAGAAGTCTGCTGCGGAGCTCGCATCAGTGCGGGCTTGGCAAAAGTGCGCATCGAGGGCGCATCGTCCGTAAAGGGGGCACCAAAGACCGAAAGTGCAAGAAGTGTGCCATTTGGGACAGGGGCATCATGTTGTGTGCTACTTTTACTCTATGACTGTGTTTGAAATCGCCCCTTTACCCTCATTCACTATTCGCTACATTACTCCACTAATATAGTCCACTTGAAGGAGTGAATGAAAACGAGTGAGCGAACTCGAACAATGAGTGCACAGGAAGGGCTGCAGGCAGCTTTTGCATAGTTTGTGCTTGCTGTTTAATAAGGATTTGAAACTTGGCAAACTGGCAGCTCCAGTAGTAATGAAAAGATTTATCTTGAATTCTATCATGGAAACTAGCATGTATAAAGCTTTTTAAACTATTCAATAATCAATCAAAAAGGAATTTATACCTGTATGATATTACGCTGTAACCACATTGGACCAGCGGTTTGGAAAATGGATGGATGAATGCCATCTTCTGGCGGAATGAGGGAATTCATTCAGCACGACCCTCACGGTGCATTATGGGTATTCTCTGGCCTGAGCGCATAGATATCCATAATAAAGGCTAGATGTCTTACAGCGGAGTCTCTATCGTCATCACCGGCGGCCATCTTGTCACAGGCAAGCTTTCTGGCGGGCTCTGTGGTACCTGATGTAAGATGAGTGATCAGCACGAACACAAATACTCTTATCTCGTTGAAATCTTGACGGATTTACAAACAGTTTGGTTTCTTACAAACGTTATTAACGTGGCTATGATTCTGGATGATTATTTATTGATACACTTATTATTCATAAGTGTGCAGAGTCATAACTACATCTCTGACGTTTATAACAAACCAAACCGTTTGAAAATCGGTAGAAAATTGAGCAAGTTATGGTTATTTAAAAAGTACATGCACCATTAAAACACAATGTTACGAGTGAGTAAGCTGCCTGTGACAAGATGGCCGCCAGGTGCGGACGTCAACCTCCATTGGCCAGCAGCGCGGACGAGACATCTAGCCTTTATTATGTATATCTAGTTGAGCATACATCAGTTGTACACTCGTTACTGCAGTGCATTGTTGGATTGAATGAGTGCACTCGATAACATACACTATGTTTCGGACACCAAATGGCTGGCTGCCTCAAATAGTGCACTATTTAAGGGTATAGGGTGCGATTTCGGACACAGCTTTTATATAGCCCTTGAGTTTGCATTGTGCCTTGTCTAGCTTTGTGTCAATATAACCTGCTGTTTGTCAAGTCATGTTTTAAGTTAAGTTTTCCATGTCTACAGTTTGTATTTTGTTATCACACCGATAAACTTCACCTGGGTTCTCACTTTCAACTTGCCTTCACGGGACATGTTACAACTTTTGTGTTTTAAAATTATTTGTATACATTTTTTCAGTGTAACAATGCTTTCTATCTCAGCTTAATATGCAGAGGCTTATAGTTGTCCCTGCATATTGAAGCCATTCGTAGGTAGATCTTCTTTCAAAAAGTGTGAACACTGTGGCTTTGTGGCGCATTGTTTGTGTCAGAGGCCTGACATGTCTTTTTGCTGAACCAATGATTTACTCAAGATATCTTTAAAGAAGCAAGCAAAGATGAGAGAGATCTATGTTTTTTAATTTTTCTTCTTTTCACTAACATTTAATTATTGAATAAAACGGCAACAATAAAAAGGAATAGCTAGATAAGCTGATTACCTTAAATGTCAATAAATATCACTGTCAGTTCGTACTGCCATTAACACTTTCTCGAACATGCTGATCCAATGTGCCTCTTTTTTTGTTTCTTCATGTGACGTTCGACATAAAGCCTATAAATCAGGTCTGATTAACCAATACTAGTAAATCCGGTAAAAGTATTGGTCATTATAAGTGAATTAACTAATTTTTGACAAACCTTATAGTAAATTATTACTATGAACGAATTAATAGTTCTGGCATGGAACTCTAGATGGCGCAGGCTGATATGTCCTTAATTTACGTAGCGCAGCTGATTGGTTGCTGTTGCATCAGCAGCCAATGAGCTGTGGCTTAACATTCAAATACTGGTAGTCCTGCTGTTAGCAGTGCAGTGCACTTCTAGAAACTCCACCATCCCCAGCTCCACCTGTAGAGATCTGCTATGGGGATCTGCTATAATTCATGTATGCTACATTTGCAGCAGCAGGAGCATGTCTTAAATGCTCAAAGCAATGTCTGTGAATGTATTGGCAGTTGCAAGTCTCGGTACCTGTTCTGCAGCAGCAGCAGCACAGCAGATCTATTCTGCCAAGACCAAATACATTAACAATGCCATATCCATTACCATGCCAATCTCTCCGAGAGTTGTCATGACAGAACTATAATGATACAAATGTGTTTATATAGTATAACTTGTAGTGCATTCCACAACAGTTGCTGTTATGTTCAAAGATTATGTAAAAGCATGTATGGTGTCAGCCAATGCTCGATCAAGACCACAGGGATATCTTTAAGCAAAATCTCTTGCACGGTTTTTCACCTTTTTTAGTATTGTGAAATGAATGGCAGTTTTTTTGTTCTTGTTGTTTCTACTTTCATCGACCGAAAAGTGATTGGGAAACTGCTGCCATATATCGAACATGAGGATGAGGTAAGGTGCGGTAATAAACCACAGATGTTATCAGCAGCTTGACTTGCATGCTGGGTACTGCAGACCTGTGTTTTCACCCTAAATCAAAGTTGCACAAACTATGCATACTTTGTTTCCGTTTAAAATTTACGCCTAAAGCGACTTCTGTTGGTTCTTCTAAAGCAGGCGGCAGTGTGTGTGCTCCCTGTGCCTGTAGTGTGTTACATTTATCCTCCTATTTTTGAAAAGGGATGTTGTGAGACCCTGCAAAAAACCTCAACACATTTGTTGGCATGCTAACTGGGTCAGTGCTGCAGAAACAGGAGCTTGTGGTTGTACCTGAGCTATAATAACTAAAAAACCTGCAACTATTATTACAGGTGTCGTAGCATGTCTTTTTGACTGTTAATACTGAAAAAAAGAGTAAACATTGACATTTAAGACAACAGCTAACATGACCACTCGAACATTTAGTATATTTTAGTTGGAATTTCTCTGATCATGTGATAATGGCAAACGATATTTATATTATAATAAAATTTCAGTTTTAATAAAAAATATAACTGAATAATATTAAATTGAAAAACAAAAGAGACATTACACAGATAAAAAATGTTTTTATTACTATGAGTCACACATACCTTACCTAATCTCAACTGAGCTTAACCAATCAGGTTAAAGGGGTGGGTTTCTATTGAAGCAAAAACACTTACTAACTTAGTCACATCACTATCCAATTCAAAGAGAGAGAGAGACAATCAAACTTGCTGTGAGTATAAGACATTTAATATTACTTTTTGATCCGCAATCTTTTGGATCACTATATATATATATATATATATATATATATATATATATATTGTACATATATGAATATTTAATTTTATAGATCATTTTTAAAGATGAAGCACATGCTAATATTTTGATATTTATTTCCTCCTAAAAAAGTTCTATTTCCCCAAACGGTCTCAGGAAAATGACAGATCAAACTCGACTGGAATTTCAGACGATGCCAATGAATGACAGCTACACAAACCAGACTTGCGATGTTTTCGTCTACAAGGAGTCTGCTAGGATCCTCTTTCCCATTTTCTACTGCCTGATTTTTGTCATCAGTGTGGCAGGTAACAGCCTGGTCCTCTGGATCACCTGTCAGAAAAAGCAGAAGATGAACTCCACCACGATGTATCTGATCAACCTGGCCATCTCCGACACCCTCTTCACCTTGGCTCTGCCCAGCAGGATCACATACTACATCAGAGGTTTCGACTGGCCATTTGGAGATTTCTTGTGCCGGCTGACTGCCATGATTTTCTACAGCAATACCTATGCTAGCATCGCCTTCATGACCTGCATCAGTGTGGATCGCTACTTGGCCATGCTGCACCGTCAGCGCTGTCAAAGACTGAGGAAAACCAAGGTCGTGCGAGGTATCTGCACTCTGGTGTGGGTTGTGGTTCTCCTTGAGACGTCCCCGCTGCTCTTCAAGAGCACCATGGAAGACAGACCCGGTCATCGAACATGCATGGAGTTCTCCAATTTCGATGGCCACAAGATGGCATATGGTCTTCTGTTTGCTTGCGTCATTGGGTTTTGCGTGCCATTGGGACTCATCCTGTGCAGTTACAGCAGGGTCAGCTGCAAGCTCTACAAGACGGCCAAGGAAAACCCGGTGACCAACAAGTCTGGAAGCAACAGCAGGGCCAAAAACATGATTCTGCTCATTCTGCTGAGCTTCATGGTGTGTTTCAGCCCCTACCACATTAACATCATGCAGTTTGCAGTGAGAAGGCTGTACAATGAACCCTCTTGTGAGGAGTTAAAGACTTTGAAAATATCCTTGCAGGTAACCGTTGCCATGATGAACTTTAACAGCTGCCTCGACCCTCTTATTTACTTTTTTGCCATCAAAACATACAAGCAGAGAGTGATGAGTCTTTTTAAGAGCTACATTTCCATTTCGGCATCTTCCAAGAGCATGCAGGAAAACAGTAGCAGTAACACATAAGGACCAATATTATACAAAGTAAAATCTGATAGTATAAACTGCAGAGGAAATGCCTGCACACGTGTGAAAATGTGGTTGGATTGACTGCAAAGACTAGATATCTTTTTTTTTTTGGAGCAAATTTCTTATTTCTTATGACTAAATGGGCTTTGAATCCATGGTATTTGATTTGTTTGGGGATTTTTGACCACATTATGATTTTTTTAAGATCACTGACATACTCTTGTCCTTTAGCACATTTTGCAAGGTCAGTATGAATTTGAAAATGATTTTTTTTGTGTGTGTGTGTAATATATATATATTTTGTTAATGATTAATGTGCTGTTGGATTCTCTTTTTTTAACTTGACTTTTTTTTAAACAAAGATTAATAAATACTGTAATGCTTATTGTTAGTTCATGTTAGTTATTGCATTAACTATTGTTAACAAATGAGACCTTATTGTAAAGTGTTAGCAGAATAATTAATTAAGTGGAAAAGTCCCACATAAAGGTCAAGGAGGCTAGAAACCAATAGATGATTCTGAGTAAGAATGAGTGATGTAGGTGTATGTTAATACCGATTGACATTTCTAAGCTGCTGTTGAATACTGCGTTTTGCTTTAAAGATGCTCACGATGTGTGTGTAACATGTTGAGCAACCCCTATAACGGCATTTTCCATTTGGGAATTTAATGCTTATGTAGCTGCCAATTGCTCTAAACAACTTTCTTTAGACCTCTTTTTGAATACAAATAAAAAAAATCATTATCAAGTTTTGTGTTTTGTATCATTATCTCAAAAAAACGAATTTGCCCTTTAGTTATCAACCACTGGGAAAGCACAACAAGACTCAGAACACCACAACCAGAAGACACTTATCGAAAGTCAGAATCACATCTTCTTAGAATATCATGGCACTTGATTCACTCTTTGTAGCTATATATGAAACAAATCAACTGAAACAGCGTTACTACGAAACAGCGATGACTTCACCATCAGACATTTCTGTGCGGGCAGCAGGGACGAAAAAGCGCACGGCAACACGTGTTTGATGGGTGCATGTGGGTGTTAAACATACACATGGCAATGAGGTTCTTTTTCCTGCTTAATTTCAACTGAGCTTCAGAACAGGATACCAACATAACCACAAGCACAAAAAGTGTCTTTTTTAGCTGCTACAGGTGGTCTGATATACTTTGTTGTGTATTCCATGAAGCTACGTGTCTATAAAAAAATGCGGAGAATGTGGCAAGCATGTAGCAGCCTACAAAACACAAGGATGTAGGTGGCATGTAATGTGGGTGGTAAAATTGTCTTTGTAGAGAATATATACTCAGAGTATAATCTGAATTTAACAATGATCAAAAATAGGCACAAAAATATGCTAAAACATGAAATGAGGCAATGCCACAATAATTTCTCAAATTCATACACCATAACCATCTATTTTCCCAAAATACATGGTACAAGACACTCCTGGCAACAAACATTATAAGTCAAAAGAACCTAGTTAACCCTTAAGTGGATCTTTGGGTCAACCTGACCCCGTTTTAATTTTCCTTCATTAAAAAAAAAACATGGTTCCCTTCATCCCTTCATCTCAGTGGCATGAGGTTTTGTAACTTTAGCGACATTATCCATGTACACAAACAAAGAAAATCTGGGTTTAATTTGGTTGTTCTGAAGGTATGAAAAAAAAGTCACAGTCAGGGTCTTTGGAGTCAAAATGACCCCACAATGAAATGAATGGGAGAGGTAAAAAAAAAAATCCAAAATTTTCTTCTTCTTTTAAATAAAACCAGCATAAATTTTGAACATCTCCACACATAAATAAAGGCCTGGTAATAGAGCATAAATGCAATGTGGAAAGAATTTTTTCGCTTAAAGACACACACGCACACAAACACAACCCAACACACTGGTGTGACTGCAACACAACACACTGACCAGTGTGACTGCAACACAACACAACCCAACAGCGATCATTTTTTATAAAAACTGGCCAATGAAATCAGTAAAATCCAGCATAAATCCAAAAATAATTATCCACAGATAATTAAAGCCTGATGCTGGGCAAAAGCAATGTGGAAAGAAAATGTTTCAGTGGTGGACAGTAACGAAGTAAATGTAATTCGTTACTGTACTTAAGTAGCTTATTTGCATAGGCCTATCTGTAGGCTACTTTACTCAAGTATTTAAATTTTGGGAGACTTTTACTTTAACTCCACTACATTTCAAAGTCAAATATCTTACATTTTACTCTACTACATTTTCAAAATCAGTCGTTCCTTTTTATTTATGAGTGGATAAAAACGTAACTGGTCGAGCCACCAATCACAGTACAGCGCGCGCTTTGTTTTGAACTTGCCTTGGCGGTATCTACTAAGCGCGAACCAGAGCCGTTAAATATGAGAGTTGCGAACATAGATGGTTGTGACAGTGATCTCGCCGCCGCGCGGTCATGTTATTCGTGTAGCTCTCAATAGTTCCAAACAAATCGCGTTGACAATGATTTTAAGCGGGACAGAGAGCAGCAGCTATTATTGCAGCAATTATCGGTAAGTATTGACGCATAATGTACATTGCTTACGTTGCCACTAAAATTACTTGCATATAATCAATTTTTTTTCTGGGGAGTACCCTAGCAGAAACACTGCATTAATACGTTTTTGTGTTTAATTTTGGAGGGAAATTGGCTGCTCCCATAACATAGAATATATATATATATATATATATATATATATATATATATGTATTTGTGTGTGTGAGTGTATAAGTGTGTGTGTATATATATATATATATATATATATATTTAATGGCGTTGTGCAGGTTTATGTGAATGTATCTGTCACGGAACGCTCAACGACGCCTCCTCCTGGTTTCACCAGATCTCTCTCTCCTGCTTATTAGGACTTCATTTCCCATTATCCTTCCCTGCTCATTATTCCCTGATTAGTCGCCTTTTCATTGCATCAGTATCACCTGTGTACCCTTAGTTCCCCTTTATCTGGACTGCTCTGTTCTTTGTTCATTTGTGAAGTATTTTTTTACCTACTCGCTATCTCTAGCTGATTTTCATTTTCTCGTGTTTGCTCTTGTATTTTGACCTGGACTCTGAACTCGTTTTTGAACCTAAGCCGCCAGCCCCTGACCTCTGCCTGTTTTTTTTTACCATTCTTGGATTGCACTTACCTGCGTGCTGTTTTGAGTTTGTTGCTGCCCTTGCATTGGGCTTTCTAGTTTTATGACTGCTTTCCTTTGCTGGCTTGCCTGTATAAATAAAATCATGCAAATGGATCCGACCGCCTCAGCCTCTTCGTCACAGAAGACTTCACCAAAGCAGGATCCAGCAGATTTTCATCGATTGGCCTCCGAGGTATCCACTCAGGCTAGTGTGTTGGCCGCTCATCAGCAACAGTTAGTAAAACTAACAAATCTCACCGAGGAGCTAGTGAGATCAGTTCGAGCGCTATCCCCGCCGAGCGCGGCTGATAATCAAGCACAGAATCCACCTGCACCTGCTTCCGTTCCACCTGCCGTGAGTAACAATTCTAACCATCCTAAGTTATCCCTTCCTGAGAAATTTGATGGCTCACCCTCCACCTGTAAGGGATTTTTGTTGCAGTGCAGCTTATACTTTGACCAGCAGACACAGTCCTTCTCCACTGATGAGAGCCGCGTTTCCTTCATGTGTTCTCTACTCACCGGCCGGGCTCTGGAGTGGGCTACTGCACTTTGGTATGGAGGTCAGCTCTCTTTCCCCTCTTATAATGAGTTTTTAACCCAATTTAGAGAGTTGTTTGAACATTCAGCGGCAGGAAAGGATCCAGGAGAACTGTTGCTCACGTTACGCCAGGGAAATTCTACCGCAGCGGACTACACACTCTCGTTTCGGACCCTGGCAGCCCAAACTGGATGGAGGGAGGAACCTTTAAAGCTCCTGTATCGCAAGGGACTCAACTCGGATCTCCAGGGAGAGCTGGCATACCGCGACGACGGTAAAGCATTGAATCAGATCATGGAACTCGCTATTCGCCTCGACAATTTGATTCGCGCCCGACGCACACCCATGAGATCCAGTCTTTTCGAGTGTGTTCTCCCCAACGCGGAGTCAGAGCCCATGCAGATTGGTTACACATGCCTCTCCACGGCGGAGCGTGAGAGGAGACGCCGCAACCATCTCTGCATGAACTGTGGAGAGGCGGGACATCTAACGGCCACCTGTCCAGTTAATCCAGCGCTCAAGAATTCTGTTGCGGTGAGTTTTAACCCCTCTTCTAAATTATTCTCTGTGGATTGTTCTTTGAAATTTAATGGACAAACTGTTAACATAAGAGCTTTGATTCTGCAGCTGCTGGAAATTTTATCGACCTTGCCTTTGCCAAAACTCATTGTGTCTCTCTCTTCGCATGTGAGTCTGGTGTGACCATGGAAGCGCTAGATGGACGCCCCCTGGGGTCTGGAGAGGTGCAATACACCACGCAACCCCTCACGCTCAGCTTCGCGACACAGCATTCTGAAACTATCCAATTTTTCACGATTCACTCGCCCATGCATCCTATTATTTTGGGGCTTCCATGGCTTGAGAGACATAACCCTCAGATTTCCTGGTCTGACGGGAGAATATCCCGGTGGTCGGCATTCTGTCAGATCAACTGCACGGCCGCTGTCCAGGGTACTGTACTCCACAACGCTGTCCTCAAGGGAGTGGATTTTCAGAAAATTCCCTCCGAATACCACAATCTAGCTCTGGCTTTCAGCGAAACTGAAGCTTCTCATCTTCCCGCTCACCGTGCTGGCGACTGTGCCATTGAGCTTTTGCCTGGGGCAGCACCTCCACGCGGAAGAGTTTACCCGCTGTCACAACCTGAAACAGAGGCCATGAGGGCGTACATTGACGAACAGCTGGCTAAGGGTTTTATTACCACCTCCACATCTCCGGCTTCCGCCGGATTCTTTTTCGTTAAAGGATAATTCCGGTATTTAACACTTTGAGTCTATTTTGTAGTTTGTTTTGAATGAACTAGAGTGGTGGACTTAGAAATTTTGACAATGGGTCCTGTCTCGACTTTTTGACTATTTTAGGATCGCCTCTGACCGCTTCAGAGTGGATGTCTATGGGCATGCTCAAACATGTCCTTAAAACAACCCTTAACGTTCATTTACAAAACTGTGCAACTCACCGAGTGGTTAGTGGTGTTCGTTGATGTTCCAAAACAAGTAGCGTAGCGAAATACAGTTTCTGTCGTGTTTTATTTGCCATTTTTTAAAATCACATTGATGTC